TATAATGGATATTGATGTTAACTCATTTCATCGGTCGCTCAACTGATTGAAGTGACTCAGAATGGTTTATAAACGACAAAATCACTCACTCATTAAAGTTAAGATGATTGGCCCAAACTGGTTATAAAGTGATCATTTGTACAATATTATATTAATGTACCTGTAATTTCAATTATACAAAGCAGTTAGAGTAAAATGTTGTGAGTAATAAAACATTATCACAAGTCTGAACATCATCACTCGTGATTGAAATACTGCAAATTTCTTTCAAGTTAACACTTTTGGACAAACGTGTTTGTGTGGCCACTACTTTTAGGGTTAGTAATGTAAGTTATGTCTTCATTTGAGTATAGACAAGATGCCGTTCGTTTCTACTTAGGATGATGGACGTTGTAATAAAACATGTTTGTCAAGTACGTTTTGTTATAAATATATTTTCGTCCTAATTCATCTAGTCATTGTCAAAATCTTTCTAAAACTGATGCTCAAGAAACATAATGCTACAACTTAAGAAAACTTTCTTCTGCTGATGTTTCCAACTTTTGTTGTTCCTAGCATTCAAAGTTCTACTTTGCGAATGTCTCGGGTAATGATATAATAAATCTTCCCCCCTTCCCCATCAGGTCGCCCCATCAAATATAACAAATTCACCAGTTTGCTAGTTTACCATTTCAACTCCTTTCTCTCTTACAAAAGTTTTTTTTTCTTACGAAATCTTAATAACTTCTACTAACAAGCAAATTTCATGCTCCCACTAGACTGCTTGAATTTGCTTGCATACTAAGTGGCTTTAAAACTCCGGCTTTGATTAACATTAAGGGTATTTAAAATTACACAAACAGTCGATGATATGCCGGAAATAAACAATTCATTTTACAAGGAATTGGAGGGAATTGCGGTGCATGGTATTTGTCGATAATAATTGTCGAGAGAGATTGACCGCGTGTTTGGTGTAGTGGAGAACTTCTGATTATTGTGACGTCTGCTGCTTATCAACCCTTTACACCCTAAAATCAGGATGCATATTCTCCATACTGCCCTCGAGACATTTCTTTTAGTACTTACGGTGAGAGTTTGTCGAACAATCAAGAGCTTCTTGAGTTCGCGACTGATCATTTTCTTCATTTCATGACCTTAATGTTTGATTCAGACGCTTATCACTGTGAAGGGTCAGAGGGTTAACGCCCAACAAGGGGTCGGAAATGAGAGATCCTTCCATTT